GTTTGGGGGGTGGGGGGGGGCCAAATATGGCTGTTTTTGGCCGTTGGGAACGGCTCTTTTTGCAATTATAGCCGTTGCCCAACGACTATAATTCAAAAAAAAGGGATGCGGGACGGGACAGGTGGGACGGGACGGGACAGACGGGACGGGCGAGACGGGACGGGACAAAACGGGATGAAATGGGACGGGATAAACGGGACGAAATGGCCATCCCGTCCCATCGCGTGTCTCGTTTAGCATGGGCCCATCCCGTTTAAAATTAAGTGGGACGGGACAGGACCGGAATGGGATGGGACGTTGGACAACCTTAGTTGAGTGTCATATTTAGGCCTTTTTTAAATATAATATAAATTTAATCCTAAATTTTATATCACCTTATTCCGTGAACCAAATGACCCCGGAGTATTAGCCATTCTCTTTTTTACTCGTCCTCGTTTGCTAACTGAATAAATTTCGGATTTCAAAAGTTATGCTCAAAATTTTATTTTTTTAAGCTTTCGGTTTTAACTTCCAAAAAAGAAAAAGAAAAAAAAGCACAATCAGAAGAAACCAAAAAAAGAAAAAAGAAACTGCCAACAGATAACAAGAAAGAACCTGAAAATGCAACTTCTTTTTGAATCCCCTTAACCTCTCTTTCTCAGACAAAACAAAAACGCAGAAAACCAACAAAAAAACACCCGCTTTCACTCTGGGGAAATTACCACGCCATGGATTCCCGTTCCGGAGGAAAAATTGTGACGAATAGGCGAAAGAGATACGCCGTCGGTCCATACGACCGTCCACCACCACCACCGCCGCCGCCGGAAGTACAGCAACCGTTTCCTAAAAGCCCTAATTGGCTTACCGGCCGTGTTGTTCCGGCGACGCGTACGATTCTCTCCGGCGCCGCGAAGATTTTAACATCTGTATTCAATTCCGACTCTTCTTCTTCCTCGTCTTCCTCCGACGCTGATTCCATGTTTGGTACTCTTCTTCAAATCTCTCTCTTTTTTCTTGTGATCTAAAAAGTGATTAATTACGAAATGCCACTTAATATTCATCTTAAAGTAGTGAATTTTCCCTTTTTGTGCATTCTGGTGCCTTTATTTGATGTTTGTTTGAGTATTATGTTTGCATTTTGGTGTTAATTTTTTTTTTTATAATTGTTTTTTTTTTGTTTTTTTTGTTTGAGTACTTTGTAAGAAGTTCCTCTTTTCATGTTTTTTGTGTTGTAAATAAATTATAGTAGGTTGGCTTAATTTCTGCGATTTTTGTTTAAAATACCAACTTTGCTGGAAATGTTATAGTATTCTGCTAGGTGTTTTTAGTTTAGTCTGTATGTGAGAGATTTTAGTACATTTAATTTTTTTTCGTCATCTAAAAAGGGATAGATTTCAAAATACCACTTAACATTCATGTTAAAGTAGTGGAATTTTATATTTTATTTTTTACATTTTGGTCTCTTTGATATTTGTTTGAGTATTATGTAAAAAGTTTATCTTTTCATGGTTTTTGTATTTGTTTGAGTATTCGTTAATAACTTCTCAAAAGGTTATTTTTTTTTTAAAGAACTATGGAACTGATAATTAAGAGTATGAAGTTTGGACTATAAAGGTTTAATGCCCGAACCTGACATGATTTCTTGAGCATTCTTTATGACATTGATAGGGGGGATCTTTCTTTGAAGTTACGAGTTTGGCAATACCTTTGGTCTAAATCTTGGATTTGTGCTAAGAAATTCACTTATATGTCTAAATAATCTATCTCGAACCAAGTTGTTGTTTTATCCTAGAATTTAAAACCCATAAATTTAAAATCCTGAATCCGCTTATGGACACAGACATCTTGTAACATAGATGTGGATGCATGTTCAGTGAAAAGGGGAATTCAATTGAATCCGCGTAGTCAGGGACATGGTTGTAAAAAGCGAGCGCTTCCTCGTTAAAGCGAGAAGCGAAGCGAGGCGAGGTATCTGGCGCTTCTGTTAGCTGAAGCGTAGCAGATTTACAAAAGCGCTCGCTTCCCCTGAAAAAGCGAGAAGCGATGCGAAGCGTAAGAAGCGAGCGCTTTTCTTTATAACTGGGCTACCAACATATTTAATTAAAAAAACTGTCTTTTTTTATAACACTATCGAGCAACAACAACAGAGAAAGAAAAAGGCGGCCTAGGGTTTAAGTTTTCTACACTTTTCACTTCAAGATCATCAAGTTTGGTCTCAGGTATGTGATTTCTTCCTCCTCCTCCTTCTTCTTCTTCTTCTTTTTCTTTTTCTTTTTCTTTCACTGTTTCAGCGTCCAAATAGCAACGAAATGCTAGCTAATTCCCNTTCTTTCTCATTCTTCTCCTCTTCTTCTTCTTCATTTTGTTGCACTGTTTCAGTGATAATAAGAATGAAATGCTGCCCATTTTTTCTTACAGTTACATGTGTTGTCTATGCAGTATTTATTTTAATATATTTTTTAAATTCCGCTTCACTTCAAAAAAGCGAGCGCTTCGCTTCTCGCTTTAAGCGAAAAGGGCTTGTCGCTTTTCCTCGCTTCACACTTTTCACAACACTGGTCAGCGAAAACAATAATATTTACATATGTAATTTGTACTGAAAAAATATAAATTTAGTATATGTATTATGTAGTAAAGGATAAACCTGCTTGATACATTTTCTTTAATAACTGAGAAATTCCCAAGGGCGGTGAGACACGGTTCAGAACTCAGTGGATTATGGACCCCTCCTCTGCCCTTCTCCGCTTAACTACTATGCTTTTGTCTTTGGTAGGGTTTGAACCCGTGACTTACGCCTAACCCACACATTATGCGTTGCGCTCTTACCATTAGACCAAAGCCCCGAGGCAAATATGTGCCTTAAAAATCATAAATATAGTATATGTATTATGTAGTAAAGGTTAAACCCACTTGATACATTGACGTGACTTAATGTATTGGTTAGGTGGTATTACACCTGTGAGTGCTGCATGTTTATAACTCTGCCTTGCCTTTGAGTATTTGATTTTATTTATCTTGTCTTTTTGAAGAAAGGAGACCCGTTTGTTACTTAAAAAGGGAATGACAAGTAAAAGCGTGTAGCAATTCTTTTGCGCTTGACTGATGCACATTCAGCTAAGCGGTTCGACTGAATTGACCTCACTTGGAAAAAAGTACTAGTTGCACATGTGAATTGTATTAAAAATATAGATGTAGTAAAGGTTGTATATGGTATTTGTCTAAACATTTGTACAAGATGGTGTGGTTTTCTTAGGGCTTAAATAAAGTGGGCACTGAAAAAGACGCGGTGAGACTTGTTATACCCCCCCCCCAAGTAAAAGGTAGTAGGAAAAATCTCGCCTACTGTACTTGGTGCAGCCCTTAACGCCGATTGCACTATGGTTTTGCCTCAAATCAAATTGCTCGCAATATCCCGCGTATGAGTTATGCATGTCGAGATGCATTGCTTGTTCTATGTGCCACTTGGAATTTTGAAACTCCCTTGCATTCATTATATAGTCTTGACATGTGTAGGAAGAATGCCTCATTCAAGCTTTAAATATGTAAAGCTCTCTTGTGCCGGTACTATTAACTATCTCTTTGACAATTTAGCATTGTTTCATCTCTGTATAATTCAAATACCATAGTGGCTGATAAAACTAGTTCTCATGGGATTGTCCTCTCATTTTCTATTTGTTCCTCGACTAGCTTGACGTCTGGCTTTTATTGTAGCGGATGATGCTAGAGAACATAATGATATTGGCTTGGAAGTGGATGAGTTAAGCAAGGTAATTTCACAAATCTGCTTATGTTATTGATTTTCAAGCATTAAGAATTGCGTGATTTTGTACCATGATTCTCCTAGTGATACTAGTTTGTTCGGTTGGTTTGGGTGAAAGTTATCTGTTGCATATTTAAGTGTTTGTGATTTTGTACCATATTTCTCCTTGTGATACTAGTTTGTTCGGTTGGTTTGGATGAGAGTTATCTGTAGCATATAGGGTTTCCTTTTTAATGGGGATACCGTTGGTTTGGATGTTCTTTTTTTTTTTTGATAGGTGAGTTGGTTAGCATGTATTAATGTGGTTCGCCTTTGTTGTCTGCCCTCTGTCAATGTAAAGGAGAAAAATAGAGGACCATTTTTACCTGTTTTCATTTTTGAGCTGTGCTGTTAGGAGATTATTACCTCTGAGGAAAGATAGTCCTCATAATCCAATATTCCTACATACTATCTTTCTCTATTTTGTATTCCAATAGTAGTGGCAAGAACTGAAGAACTAGTCATGAATTTCTACACAAGTGGAGTGAAGTAGTATCCTCCTGTGGAATGGAACTAGGTGACTACCCCTTTATTCGAAGTAAGCCTAGGTAACCGCAAAAAAAACTACTTTCAATAAAGCACAGTTAGAATTTATCCAAAAAGTAAAGCACGGTTAGGAAAGTGTCTATGGGGATTTGCTATTAAAAGATGATACTTCATGGGAGAGCATAATTGTTATAAAATACGGGAGTGGTATGAGTGAATAACTTTTAGAAGAGATGACATACTCATATAGGCTTATATAAATAGAAGTACTCATATGGGGAAAATATGTTGAAAAACATTGTGAGGGGAGTGGTCTAGTAGTTTAGTGGTCAATGAAGTGAATGCAAACTTGGAGAATAGGGTTCAAATTTCAGTAGAGACAAAAAACATTAGGTGATTTGTATCTTCTGCCTAAGCTTTGGTGGATAGTGTTACTCGATACCTATGTCGATGAGAGGTAGGAGATACCCAGTGGAATAGTCGAGTTGTGCGCAAGTTGAATCGGAGACTACTTAATTTTAGTTAGGAAATTGAAAGTGAATTATGTTTCACAGAAAAAAGTTTATAATGATGGCAAATTTCCTAACCAGGAATAATGTTAACATATCGTGGAACCTACAATTCAGGAGACCTTACCGTGGCCAGGAACTGGACAAGTTGGAGGACTTTTTCATAAAGATTTTATGGTTATATCTTAAATTGATTCCTAAGTTAATCGCAGGAAAGAGTTGGTTGATCTAGAAAATATAGTTTCCTTGTAAAATCTTTCTGTCCGTGATGACCAATGGTTGTTGTTGTTGCATTTCATATCCTTCCATTGGTCATCACGGACAGAAAGATTTTAGAAGGATATGAAATGCCTACATGGTAATTTATATACAACTCGTGTCTTGAGAAAGGTCTATTGCATGGTGTTCAACATGGAATGTCTTCCTAATAATCAATCAACTATCATTCAGTCCCAAACTAGTTGAGCTAGGTCATGTGAATACTCTGTAAGCATTGCATTCTGTTCATGTCCATTTCATTTAGTACTAAATTATTTGTTTTCTGAGGCAAGTTAGAGGTTCTTTAAAGCAAGAAGTTACCTATATACCTTGCTTATCCGTACACGGACACAAATCTTTAACTGGAATAAAATTCCTGGTAAATACTAGACCTTAAGTAAGTGTGATAGAATAGTTCAACCTTAATACCAACTAGTTGGTATCGTCTAGATGGACCCTTTTCCTCCATAGTGTTCTATTCTTGGCCAATTCCATAATATTCCAGAGATTGTAGGTCTTTTAAGACAACGTTTCTTCATGTATTTTTAGGTCTACCTTGTCCATCGTTGAGAATCCGTCTCATAAAATTCATTCTCTTACTCCCCTAGGTGGCTAGGTCTACCTTGTCCCATCACCTTCCATCAACATATTGTCACGACTATGAGTTTGTGCATTTGAAACGCCATCATAACAATAATGTAGAGAAGAGACCGCATCTTTATGCAAAAAAAAAACAAGAAGAGGATGTTGATCATATGTATATGCATTACTAGTATGTTCATGATTTATGGACTTTTGTATTTTTTGGCATAAATTGAGTGTTATTGAATACACTACTGAGTACTGAGTACCTTAGCAAGTAGAACATTGAAGAGGATGAACAAGGCTAGGAAGGAAGCACGAGTTGTAATTGCAACATGTCCTTTTTTGTTTAACGGAGAGAGAGAAATAGACGCACTTTTGAACACATCATGGAGAATAAAAAGGCCCCTTTCTCGTCATTTTTTTTTTTTTTTTTTTAAAAAA